GCAACAATTCATTCTTTCATCCCTCATTCCTCTGTATCATTTAAAGTAATCATTTGGGTATTTTGTCTACATTTTTACATACTCAATCTTTAAGTGCTTTAGCATACTGATGCAGTTTGTGAATTTTCCCATATAATGTATTTATTATGGATTATACGAGTACACTGAAACAGAAATTGTTCGAAAGAAATTTTCCAGTTTGAAGCGTATTGTATTTTCAGACATTTTGAGGATAATTTTAAAACCATCAAATAATTGTTTAGGTAATTTCTGAACAAAATGTTTCACTATATATTTTAAAACACTTACTTTGAAGTGTGGTTAATTTATAATAAGAAGGTAAAAGTAAGCTAGCAGAAGATCAGAATCAAAATGGAGAACAATTAGTCTTACCTGAAAAGGTTTTGAATTGGATAAATTTTCAAATTTGTGTCGCTTTTTCAGATATAAATTACTCATATTGTCAAGATTATTGTGGAAAGCAAAGGCTATTTTTCATTAAGTCCTAAACAGAAAAGCAGTGAGTGTAGTGTTTCTAGATAGTGTAGGAATTGGTTATTACTGTGTTTGTTTTATAGGACTATGGCAGCAATATTTATTTGATATAAATTCCTAAAAACTGTTTTCAAAAACTGCTTCAAAGTAGCCTTGGAAGTGTCTGAGACTACTTTGAAATCTCTTTCATGTTTACTGTATTAATTGCTTTGAAGCTGCTTCATAGGTATTTTGGCAAAGGATAGTAGAGATGTTTGATAGGGCTGCGATTGAGCCTGTTTCTTAAAATTGATTAAGATTGATACTGTTTCTTAAATTTTACCTGTCTTTTGGGGGAGATGGCGAGGAGGCAAGACAGACATTGTCTTGGTTTGGTTTGGTTGGTTTTAACCAGAAGGGAGGAGGAAGAGGGGAGGTAATGTATAAGCAGGAGAAGCACAAAAAACCCCCTGAACACAAGGAATGGAGATAAGACTAAACATGTTTTTCCTAACTTGTAATGGATAATTGAACACAGCCTTTATCTCTCTTTTCCTTTAGATTATAACAGAAATATAGTATGCCTTTTTATTAGTGGAAGAGTCTTCCTATGCAGCGGTTATTGAATTTGTTGTTTTTATTAATTTAAGGTTCAATGTGGAAAAGGAGTGTTCTAAAATTGATGAAGGCTATGAAGAAAATAACTCAAAAGCAAGATTCTTTAGTAGGCCAAGTCCACCTGTAATTGAAAAGAAAATAGACACAACTGGTAACGTCTTAGAAACATCTAATTTTTCTGTAATTGTAATACTGTGTTGTGGAGTGTGAATGCAAATTGAAGAAGCATGTTACAGAGTTAAAAGTGTCTTTATCTGTTTTTCAGCCCCTAGAGATGCTAGAAGTTGTTAGGAGGTCAACTGAGCCTAAAGCCATATTTGAAAAAAGATCTAGTCTTGGTGTTAATAATCAGTTAAAATATTGTGTGTAGGTTAAGACCGCCTGGTAAAAAAGTAAAGCATACTTCTGCTATTATAAAACAATGGTAGAGGTTAGCCAACTGCTTTCATTTTACATTCTGAATTGTATGCTTATCAGAAGAATTTAGGTTTTTATTATAGAAAATAACATACAAATTTGACTTTTAGTAAACCATGTTATTTTTAAAAAATAATATACAGATTATGACATTCAGAGTATTTTAGCTGACAGTATTTTGATTGCATCTGTGCAAATTGTTAGTTGTTATGTATCAATATTTTTTCTAGGCATGACAAAGAAAGAGAAGATTTTTATTGCTAATCGTGAAAAAGAAAAGGGCAATGAAGCCTTTGGCATTGGCGATTATGTAGAAGCAGTGACTTACTACACTCGGTGAGTAAACACTATTATGTTCTTTTATTTTAATGACTGTTACTTGTGAATATTATTTAATATTTATCTTAAATGAAGCAAGTTCTTACTGAAGCTACCAGTGACAATTAGATTATTTTCAAAAGGGCAAAAAGATTTGGCAGAAGAATACTTAAAGCACTGTTGCATCCTAGAATTAATTTCATTCATCAGGAAGAGAAGTCGATAATGATGGGATGCAGTCTGCAGGTGTCACAGACTTCTTCCGATTTTTCAAAACCATTGAGATTCAAGGGCAGGCTTACAAAAATAAAAGGATAAGCAGGATCGGTAGGATTGTCTCCATTGTTAATAAGTAAAATTGATTTAATAACCTCTTCTTAGCACAAGGAAAAATCATTGTGTGCAGCTTCATCATAACCCTGTCTGTAATTGGTAGCAGTCGAGAAAAAAGGTATATAAAGATAGGATTAAAAAAAAAGAGACTCTTGCTTGCCTTGTTTAGTGCCCAGTGGACTACATTCAGACTTTGGCATTATTTATGTAGAGGTTGTTGCTACAGTACCTCTGTTGTATTTGTTTCAAAAGTAGAAAAGTTGAAGGTGAACGGACTTGAGCATGACAGGAAGAGAAGCATAGTATTTCAGTCAAGATATTTTAATGGTGCCTTGGGAGAACTATATTTTTTCTCTACTCTTTTCACAGTGTTCAGACATGATGCCATTTACACAAACCAGGATTTTCACGAGACCAACATTTGTTTCTCATTTGCAGATTATTCACCTTGAGACACTAGAGGTCTGACTTGCAAAAATGCTGGTGTTCACACATGAAACTAACATTAGAGGAAAGAATTTTGTGTTTGAAATTCTGTGCTTTGAAATCATAAGGACTTAAAAAACCCCACAAATCCTTAAAGTGTCAAAGTTGTCACTTAGAAATTGAGAGCATATAGGAATCTTGGTGTATTAATTACCAGTGTAAACTGAGGATAATGATATGGCCTTGCTGTGAGATGAAGTGTTAAGATAATTCATGGGCTATGATATTATAGTGGGATACCCTAAAAAAAATTATAAGGAAAATTAATGTGTCTGTTGTCAGTGCAGACAAGTATAGAGGAAATAATAAATAGGAATAAATTGCATACAGCAGCAATAAAATAAATATTGAACATATTTATGTTTCGGAAGCACCATTCATGCTGTCACTGAAGGAGGCAGAGTTTTGTAGAACAGCTTATGAAAATTTACCTGGAGATTGTTGAAGTATATATGTGCACAACAGTATTGTTTAAACTGGGACATTTGGTGTGTATCTTTTTGTTCTTGACTTGCAGTCTTAACATCTTTCTTGTTTGTTTTTTTTGTTGTTTTTTTTTTTAGTACATGAACATGAATATAAAAAACAACCATAGCTGTATTTCGTATACAGTAAATAAAATACAAATGCATACTATAAAAATAAGTAAAAATCTCTGCTTTTGGGGTGTAAATAAGGTATTAGTTAATAGAGATGGGCAGAATCCTTCCTAATGGAGAGTCTTTCCATATTTGACCCCCATGGGGCATTGTACACCTTCTGAAATACATGATACTGATACTGCGTTTTGTTCTAACTGGGCACTTTTCTAATACTGTCTGGAAATTCCTATTTTCTTACATTTAGAAATATTTAAATAAAACATTTTTTGGAGTGAATTGATAATAGTTTGAAGGCGTTACTTGTATATGGCTAAAAAGGGAAAAAGAGTAGGGTTCTACATAAAAATAATCAGGGTACCGTTCTTCATTCTGTTTGTCTTGTAATGAGGCCTACTATTCTAAGCTGAATGTAGAGAGTACTTTCTACTTCATAAAAAACTTTAAACCTCTCTCTCATTTCTAAAGAGATTCAAAACTTTTGCAGAACGTGCTCTGACATAATTCTGTTATGCTGGTGTGATTCTAAAATAAACAGATCTTGCCTGTTTTTCTGCATACCTCTAGTGAAATCGCGCTGTTTAGTCCTTTCAGTTATACTGCAGAATCATAGAATAATTCAGGTTGGAAGTGACCTCTGAATGATACTTTTTGCAAACCACCTTTCAAAGCAGGGACAAGTTTGTTCAATTAAGTTTTGAGTATCTCCAAGGTCAGAGATTTCACAACCTCTCTGGGCAGCCTGTTGCAGTGTTTAATTACCTTTACAGTAATTTTTTTTCTTAAAAGTCATCAGAAATTCCCTTTTTGTGACTTGTGTCTGTTGCCTTTTGTCCTATCAGTGTGCATTTCTGAGAACAACGTGTCTCTGTCTTCTCCATACCTTCCAGTTGTTGAAAATAGCTGGAAAACCTCCCCTGAGCTTTCGCTTCTGTCTGGACAAAGTTAGTTATCTCAGACTCTTGTTGCTCCTCACATGCCTTTTCTAATTTCAATCTCAGCTGAGCTTTTGCTTTCTTAATTCCATCACTTGCTCTTAGCCAGTGTCTCTGTATTCCTCCCAGGTAGCCCATCACCGCTGCCATCTGCTGTATATTTAATTTTTGTGTTTCAGCTCAGTCAAGAGTTCTCTGTTCATCCCTTCTTCTGTCATGTTTGCTTGACTGCCTGCACATTAGAAAGGATCATTCGTGTGCTTTGAGGCAGCTGTCCTTGATGATCAACCAGCTCTCCTGGCACCCTTTGCCCCACTCCTGCCATTCTCCATGTAATCCTGCCAAGCTGATACCTGAACAGGCAAAAATCTTGCCTGCTGAAGTCCAGGGGTATAATTTTGGTGATCATCTTGCTCATTTCTCCCAGAATCTTAAACTCTACCATCTCATGGTTGCTGCAGCCAAGGGTGTCACCAACTTTTGCATTCCCAACCAGTTTTTGATTGTGAGTAACAATTCCAGCAGAGCATTCCCCCTCATCATCTTGTTGATTGTGTCTAGAAGTTGTCTTCAATACGCTCCAGAAATCTCATAGATTTCTTGTACCTTGTCATATTGTTATAATACTGTTTTCAGCTTCCAATAGTGCAGTGTTTCCACATTCAGGTTTTCTAACTGTGACCCTACCATGGGCAATACTCCCTTTTTTCAGGAGTATATCAGTAATACCCACTGCAGCTGCATATAATAACAAAGCTCAAGCAGAAATCAAACTTCAGGACTGGGACAGTGCTTTGCAGGATTGTGAGAAGGTACTAGATATGGAACCTGGCAACATAAAAGGTAAAGTAAAACATAAACTTGCCCTTCTATGTAGTATTTTATTTCTAGAAAATAAAATGGTACCTATCCATTCGTGTTGCGAGTTGACTTCCCTGAGCTTTAGATCAAGTCCACGTACATAGAAGGAAACAGAGTAGCTCCCCAAAGTACTTTCAGCAGTGTTTTCGGGGTCAGGGAAGTTCTATGCAGTCCATCCTGTTGGTCTGTAATAGGTATTCTTATGCAGTAACATGGGGCTAACTCTTGTTTTTTATATGATGACTATGAGCCTTCTTGTATTCGTGCAGAGCATTCTTTCTGTAATACCCACACTGTAATATTAATTACCTTAAAAATGACATGAAAACAATGAAAGTTGATTATTTAATCCTTTCTGAAGGCAAGGGCTTGAATGTAGCTAACTATATTTGCACGGGAGGAGGGGAAGAATTGGAAAAATACGAGAAGATGCTTCACAATTAATGATCGCTATCTCAAAATGTGTAATGTGAAATTGCATAGTTAAAAATGATCAAGAGAACAGTTATTACTAAGAATTATGAGGCATTATGAAGTAAATGCAGAATTTTAAAAACTGTTTTAATACATCTAGAAAAAATAAGTGTATTGTTATCCACTTTATGCTTTAAATATATAAATAATACACTTTGTTTCTTTCTAGCTCTGATGCGCCGTGCCACTGTACACAGTCAGCTGCAGAATTACCAGACAGCTATAGAGGATCTAAACAAAGTATTATGTGTTGAACCAGACAACGCTGTAGCTAAGGTAAACATAAAGGAGTTTAATATGACTAGAAAAAGGTTGTATGCAGTTGTAGCATAAAGTGAGTACAGTTTATATTGTTTGATTTGAATATGAGTTTTGAGGACATACTCGATCTACTATGCCGATTAGTTTTGCAAGACCACGCAGGTGCCTGTGGTGGAACTCAGGTACTTGAATGTGACCAGATCTTGTTCCCTACTTCACTGCAAGAACCTGTAGGCACTCTAGTTTTCTCTAGTGACATAATTTTAGTGCCTAAAAGTTTGCTGCTGAACATGCTTACAGTATTAGTGTCTTCACTGATGAAAGTTATGTAGAAATTTCTCTCAAAAAGATCCATTAGAATAGGTGTGTTTAAGTTTGACACATAATTCACAAGAAACATTTAAAAGAGATGCCAAACTTTTACTGTTGTAGTGGTAAAATTAACCCAAAAGGAGAGGACCTGAGTTCTGTCCTCACTTCAGTGTGTTGTTATAAATCCTCATGTCTCACCTCCAGGCGAGAATAAAAAACTTTTCATGCCTTCTGATGAATCTGGACACTTCTTAGCCAATTTTGGATCTAAGAAAGCCAGATGCTTTCTTTGGAAACTCAAGGTCAGGATGTGGTTATTTTACTACTATTACTTCAGCTATTTAGGAGAGGATTGGTCCGTGTTACTTCATTCATACCTTCTTAGGAGTATTTTGTGTGTTAGAACCCAGTTCTTGCATTTGGACTCTACGTGTCCTGATAATCTTCAGTGCTGGGCAGTTCTGATACTAAACTGGTCTTTTTCTCACAATTAGGAGTCCATCATACTGCTACCCTCCCCCTGCTTTTTTTTTATGCATGACTTCTGGATGCTGTGCAGTTGCTTTATCACCTGAATTCTGTTCAGCTCTTGCTGTTGGCACATTTTGAGCTGGTAGCAGCTTACTGATTGCTACTTCTTTCCGTTGAGCTATTTGACCACTGCTATTGCTTGGACCAGTGAGAGAAGTCCGAACCTGTTACGTCAAATTCATCACATAAAGCACTCATCCTTTTTAGGGTGTTCGTGGAGCTAAATTCCTGGCCAGAGTAGTTTCTGAGTTTCACATCACCAAGGAAGCAATCTGCTTGCTTCCCCCTCCCCGTCCCCCTTTCTTTCTTTTTAAGCACCTGTTTCTAGATTTGAGTTCTAAAAGAGCTCTTGGGTTTTTTTTCTCTTTACAGGACTGAAACACTAAATAGCTTGTGAGTCCATGTTGACAAACTCCGCAACAGTCTTTGTGAAAAGATTATCAAATAGGCTTTCCTGAGACTTGTTATAATACCAGATATAAGATACTTGCTCATTTTGAGTACACTCTTCCCGAGATCCAAATATGTTAGTAGCTTCACTGACCGATGCTTCTGTAGCTGAAAGCAGATAGCTGTACTTCTGTACTTTGTCCTTATTTATACCAGCTATTATGCCTTGGCTGAGACATCTAGAGGTGACAGGAGTGTTTGGCGGGCCATTTTTTGGTTTGCTCTTTGCTTGGAGGATCCTCAAAACCCTCTTGACCTAAATATGAATATATGGAACACTTGCAGAGTGAATGTTTATGTGCAGAGTCACTAAAATAAAGGTAAATTTCTTGTCAGTAACTGGAATTCTTCAAGGTGCTTTGTCCACATTAATCTTTGCTTGTTCCTGTCCTTGTTTTATCTTTTTCTTGAGGAAGTGAGTACTGAAATGGCACTTCCTTGTACAGCATTGAATTAAATTCAGAATAGTGCATAATGTCGGATGTGTCTTACTCTCCTTTGAAAATTTAAAGTGCAGTTGGAGTATTTTTTTTTTGAGTAATCAAAAATGTTTATGGAATGAGAGGCCGTTTGATCATCTCAATTTGCAGTTCCTACAAGATGAGCAAGCCTTTTTTTATTCAACAGTGTCCTTCTGCTACACATTGTTGTCTCTTTTGATTCCAGTTCCGTCAGTTACACTCCTCCATCAGATACCCATCAGACACCAAATTCTCTGTAGCATAAATTTGGATAAACTGATTTTAGGCTCTTTTGAAGATTCTGAAAAGAGCCTGTTTTCCACGAGTCTCTTCTGAGTAGACCATGCCAGATACCAGCGTAGTACAATCTACTTTTTTTCCTTTTGATTTAAATTTTTTTTGCTTAAGCAGTTAATTCAAGAAAAGTACTTACTTATTTGTGTTGTATCTTCTGAGTTTCTAAGAGACAAATTGAGTGTTAATCTTGGTTTTGATAGTGACTCCTGGAAAAGTCATGTTTATTTTCTCTGTTTTTATACTGGTAACATCTTGATAGTTCTTTGGGACCTTATGTGGATTATTTAATGGAACGTATTTTGTGTATATAAATTACAATTTATATACCTATTAAAAAAAGACTTTGCTATTGCTGTTTTTTCTCAATTGCAGAAAAATCTGCTAGAGATTGAAAAGAAACTGAAAGGTTTAAAGCCTGTATCTGAGACTCAAGGCAAAGGAAAAAGAATACTTATTCAAGATATAGAGGATTCAGAAGGTGATGAAGAAAGAGGGAAAAATATAGAAGAACATGAAAGACACAGTGGAGATAAAAGTAATGTCATGTCATTTCCTGTTTAATTTTAATCTGAGGAAAAAATCATTGCCTTTAATTTTTCAGTGTTTATTCACACAATTAATCCATATTTGCTTGCAACGAATTTTGCCTGTTTGAAGAGTAAAATTACTGTCACTACTTAAAGTTCATCTGAGGGTGAAATCTAGAATGCAGTTTTATTACACATCTTTGGAATTATTTCTAGAAAGGGTAAAACAGAGACAGATGGAAAACGTTGGTATAAATCACCTACTTCCCTGTGCCTCTGTAATTTTATAGCTATCCTTTGACGTGGACCCAGTTGGAAATTTCTTCTGGTGTTAGAGAACATTTTGTGTTCCTTAGCTCTTTCTCTCGCACAGCTTTCCTGCCTTCCCACCATCACATTTTTCCTCCCTTGATTGGATCAAAGAGTGTAAAAATGATCAAGTGGCAAGTAATTGGGTTTTTTTGTTGTTATTTTGAAAACTGTCAATCCTTTTTTTTGTTTTTAATGTTAGAGATCATCTGTGTGCTCCAAAAGTATGTGTTAGAGGTAAACAACGTATAATTCTTGTAGAGCATGCAGTTTACAAGCAGTTGAAGTGTAGCTCCTATTCCTGGATTAGTGTGTGACTAACTGCGAGACTGCTGAGATGAAACTGCTAGCATAATCAGAATACATGACTTGCAGGGGCAAGTGAGGCAGCAGGGCCTACTGAGGTTGCTTTTAGATTCAGCTGCGTATCTGGGCTCCAACCTGCAACAGAATAACATGCCTGGGTTGATTTGCCCCCCCTTCTCCTTTCTGTTGGTTCTTTTAAGCTAATGTGGCAAGACAGCTGTGGCTGTTGTGTGTTTTTGTTGCCTATGTAGTTCTTTATCTTGAAATTAAATCAGTCTCTGGGTTTTCCAACTTAATTGTGAATATTCGACCATACATGTGTGATTTAGTAATGCATTTTTTGCACACAAATTTAAGGAAAATACATTTTTCAAAATCAGTAGGTATCCACAACGTCTCCTCAGCTAAAACCCTGGAAGAAAGGATTGATCGTGTCCCCAGCCTCAAATATTAGTTAAATTGGGTTTGCTTTCAATTGGGAGCATTCAGGTGACTAAGTGCCTTCTAGCTTACAGGAAGACTCCCATTCCGTTGATGAAAGGTTAGGCTTGTAAACATAGGGAAGATTGTCTGCTGATGTCATGTGATATACATAAGTATTTTTGAGATTTAGGAGGCAAGCATCTTCATAGATTACTCTCTGTTTTCAAGTACAACTGGAAACAAGTACGAAGTCAGTTCAGTTATTGAATAAATCTGGTATGTTCTGTGAACCTAATAGCAAAAAGTAGACTGAGCATCTTACATGTCTTCTCTATGTATCCAGTCACGTACACAGTCAGTAGTCCAGTCATGTAGTCACATTTATTTCACATACTAGTTGGTAAGCCTCATGCATTCCTACTAAACTTATACTTTAGAGATCAGAAGAAAAACAAAATATTTTTTGTTTTCTTCAGCTCTGAAGAGTTGATTTCTCAGCTTTGAATGGAACAGTCTAAGTAAAGAGTGTAGTGTCTCTTCATCTGCTACGTATCTGAAAGCGAAAGTAAATAAAATCCTTTTTGTACAATAGAAATGGAAAATTACGTCCTAGAGACTGTAAAAACTAGTATTCAGGCACTGTGAAAACTGAAATTGACAGTGCCTGTTATTTTGACATGTTTATAGAAGTTACAATCTCAAGTGATAAATAAAATTTAAAGATAAATATATTTTAAATAGACCCTTTTAATTAATAAAAATTTGCTGAATTGTGTCATATTTACTTGTTCTATTAGAATAATTTTTTAAAATATTGTAGTAAACAGTTCTGAAATTTAGTAAATATTCATAAAAAGGAGATTGCATTTAAACAAAGTCTAAGTTAGCTTAAAATTATTTCTCAACCTGTTATTGCTAAAGTTGACAACAGATCTCTCTTTAAAAAATCAGAACCTTGTCTCTTTAAAAGATGTGCTTTGAGCACATAAAAGAAACCTCTTAACAGAACTGTTCTGAGTTGACCATGAGAAAAGATGTTGCCTAGAGAGTGTTTTCTTTGCGCATGCTTTATTTATTACACTTTGGAGGTGAAGAGAATAATCTTCTTCTGCATGAGACCTTTTTCGCAATTCACGATATGTATTTTTTTAATTTTTATATGTGTCCTCCTGTTTTGTGCACCTTCAGATTGCTGGTTTGGTACACTGATCCTTGATATTGAAGCATCAGAGCACCTCTTTTTCCTTTGTGTTAAATCCTTCATCTGACTTCTAGTTTTGCTGCCTGTGTGGTATTAAATGTACTTGATGCCGCAGCAGGTGGCTACAGAGAATTATTTTGCAATTTTTTTTTTCAGTCTATTTTCTACTTGGTAGCACCAAATTAAGGTCTTTGTCATTGAACATGACAGTACCATGATTTGGAACCATTCTTAGATTGCAGAGTATCTCCTTATATCAGTCCACTGTCTTGTGACTTTGTTTTCTTTCACTAGATTGTCCTTTTCTGGGAATGTTTTTAGGAGCTGAATAGGTATAAAAACTCTCTCCGAACCCTTGATGAATTACGTACTGTGTTCTCAAGTGGTCTTGACCATGTATTGTGGTTTCTCTGAAGTAATGGGCTTTCTGCCCTTAAACGGAGCTGTCATCATGACTGATTTACAGCTTTCCAAAACAAATAGGGGTTGATAAGGCTCTTTGAATTTCTCTTGTTGCTTTTCTAAACATGTTTTATGACGTGGACATCTTTAAATAAAACTGGATTCTTTGTCTTTACATTTTTACTTTTTCTTGAATTATTCCATGTAGAATAATAAAACATTTATTTGATATTACAGATAATTCTTCAATGTATGTGTTAATTTTTCATGGCTTTTCACAGAGAACAGCGCGTAAGGTCTTAGATTTGCATTTTGAAGTTTCTGATTTGTGGAGAAGCAAAGTTTATTGGGTAGGAGACAATTAGAGCTCTTTCCTACTTAAGCAATCCGTTGTGCTTGTTGTTGTATTTTCAGCATTCCTGGCATTGCTTTCTGCTCTGCTTTACCACTGAGGGACTGAGATAATTGAGATGTTATCTGTTGGTTAACGCTTACTGGCTGCTCTATATCCTCACTCACTTGGCCTTTATACATATATACAGAATCATACAGTAGTTTGGGTTGGAATGGACCATAAAGATCATCTAGTCTAGCCCCCCTGCAATAAGCAAGGTCATATTCCATTAGGTCAGGTTTTTCAGATCCCCCTCCATCCTGACCTTGAATGTTTCCAGGGATGGGGCATCTGCCACCTCTCTGGGCAACCTGTTCCTGTGCCTCACCACCCTCATCGTAAAAAAATTTCTTTGTAGTCTGAATCTGCCTTCTCTTAGTTTAAAACCATTGCCCCTTGTCCTGTCGCAGCAGGCCCTACTGCAAAGTCTGTCCCCACTGTTGTCACAAAGTGGGATCATTTACCCTGTGTGCAGTATGCCAGTATACACACAGAGCAGAGGTATGGTCTTTATTGCATATTTGCGCAGTTATAGGTGCTAGGTGATAATTCCACAAAGCTAGCACACCGCTTAGCAGAGTCACAAGGACTATATACTCTAACAAAAACCAAAGAAATTACTCATTACATTCTGAACAGTTCATTGCATTACACGCTTATCTTAGAGGCATACGCCTTTCTTACTTAGCTACACAAGCTTGCTAGCTTTATGCCATATCTGAATTTGCACCTATCCAGATCTTAGTTTGTAGTAGTGTCTGTGGCTAGAATTTTACTGTAATAGGAAGTTTCTTTGGCGTTGTAGCCTTGAATAATTGACTGTGTTCTCCTTGTGGTTCGAAGCCTTATGGATGAGGTCTTGTATGAGGACATTTGGCCACCTTGTTATCCAATATAATAGTTTTCCTTTATTCCTTGATCCTCTTTCCAGTGTGTTTGTTAATTCGCTATTTTGGATTTTTAGAATTGTAAGCTTTCTGAAGAAGGAGCTGTCATTTACAATTAATTTGTACAGTCTCTAGAATAATGGGGCCGAACCTACTGTGGCTTTTAGGCTCTATTGCAAGCTTGCAATATGAGAATTTAGATCACGTTAAAAGAAACAGTATTGAAAATTAACTCTAGAATTGCATTTGTAGTGCATATCCTGAAGTTAAGAAAAACCCTCCATTACAGTGTCAGTATAAATGTTGAACAGTAAATCTTTTTTCATTTTTTATGAACAAAAACTGCTCCTAAGTAGTCAGAGATCAGAATTATTTGAGATGCTGGTAGTATCAGGAGTCAGGCTGTCTGCTGAAATCTGTGTCGGAATACTGCGGTGCTAATCTGTTAGGAATTCAGGTGAATAAGGAAATTATATATGTTAATATCTGATGCCCTTATTGTACGATTTTTTTCCTCAATAAATCAATAATAGTGAAAATTTAATCTCCTGAACTCTCTATATAGGCTTTTTGACATGATGTTTAAATAAAAGCTTTTTGAGAATGATGTATAAGCTTTTATCCCTCCTATTCTACGTTGCATTTGAGGAGAGTTTTGCAGTGTGCAACATTACCGGTTTTTTAGCTAAATTTAACATAGGAGCATTTTGATTTGGCCGTGAAAAATCCAAGTACGGGTATTGTAGTGGCCAGTGTTTACAGGGTTAATTTGGAGGTGAATTCTGTACCATCCCGACCCGACGGAACAGGGGCTCGCAGCGTGCCCAGGAAGGAGGAGGAGGTGTCCCGGTAACATGCGCTCAGTCATACCTGCGAGTCACGCTAAGGAGGAGTTTTTCTGCGTTCTTGGACGTGTTTCCGAGCAGATAAATCTTGGTGGCGTTAAGGCGGTGGCGGGCTTGGTGCCGTCTCCTGCGGGCGCACCCCCTCCCATGCCGGGACGGTGGTTTCTTCTGTTGATGCAGGCGGTAACTGGGCGCTTGAACTCCCCGCAGGAGGCGGCG